TATCTCATCCCCCTCGGGGGTTGCGGCGGTACGTCGTATTAGCGCTACTCCAATTTCGGCTATTGGCTTCCCCCGGAAGTCCGTCATATCTTTGGCTTCCAACTGACGCCCTGCTCGTGACCCGGTCGTATCCTTCTACGCGCACGCCGTCGTTCGCGTAGAATTTCACCTTCCCCGCGTGGCCCTCGAGACTTGAGTTCCGTTCTCCCAGGGATTCTCTGACCCCTTAGAACGAACTCTTCTTGGAACCTCTCCGCAATCAGTTCCGCTTGCGTTAGCCTCGGACGCGCCGCCGCGTCATCGCGAAACCCCCCCCCCCACCCCACCCGCGCTGAAAACCCCCCCCCCCCCCACATCACACCACCCAGGCCGTGCCCGAGCCCTCGTGCGCACGGCTCGCCTCCACACCCTCGCTACGCAACGTGCCGCAAGGCGGAAAAGGTGGAGAGCGACGCAAGGCGACGCAAGACGATCACCGCCGCGGATGACGCCAGCACACGGCACAATACGTGATGTAGGAAAGGAGGTCGCCGATGCGGCTGCTTTACTCACGCGCAAAAAGCCTTCGTACAACCGTCCCCCTCGCTAGCATCTACGGCCCATCTATTGACACCATACCACCGCCCCGGGCGCTCTGAAAATAACATACACAGCCACACCTAACCATGCTCACCAGGGGTCAAAATCGATGAGCAGCCCGCCGTACTCGTCGTCTTCAACCGGCCGTACTTGCGCCTCTCTTCTGTCGGAGGCCTCGACGGTGAAGACGCGGACCATGTCGGTCTGCGCGAACTCGATGCTCCGTCTGCGGGCGGCGCGTCTCCTGGTTGGCGGCGCCTCGTCGTCCGACTCGCTGCCCGAGCTGGTGCTGCCGTCGTCCGCGGCCAGCAGCCACGCGTCGACGCGCGCCTCCAGCTCGGACAGTCGCTCTTGCACCGAGCACGACGACCGGTTCAGCACCGTGTTCGCCCACGTCTCGTCGTCGCACACCTCGCGCGACGCCAGACGCATGTCGCTCTGCGCGGGGCCGCTGCCGCACGCCTCCGCGTCCGCGTCCGCGTCCGCGTCGATGTCCAGCGTTGTTAGCGCGTACGAGAGGACGGAACCCATCGAAAGGGGGGGGGGGGAAGAGGAAGAGGTACGGGGGGTGGGATTTGCAAGGTGTGCAAGGTGCAAGGGATGTTAGCGGGTGGGGGGGGAGGGGCGAGAAGACGATTGCGGATTGCGGAGTGTTGCGTGAGTAGAAAGGCAGTGCAAGGTGGGGGTGTTATACTCAAAAGGGAGTGCGTCAACGAAAGAAGAGCGGTGTGCTTGGCGTAGTGCCAGCAATATAAGGGTTGGTAGGTGGCGCGGTATGGGCGGAGGGCAATTTCGGGAAGCTTGGAACGGCGGCGTTCCATGGGTAGCGGGGGTCTATGCTCAGGTCCAGCGGGGGGGGGCAGCGGGGTGTCAGTCCTCTCGCCGCGCTGCATTCGCTGTCAGCCGCGCCAAGCATCTCGTGGGCATCTCTGTCCTGCTGCACGCCCCTTTTTGCCACACTCAACATCGCGTGGGCCAATCACTGCGCGCCGCGGCACGCCGCCTAGCATC